ACTCCTGCCAGGACCAAAAAATTACCCTTGCAGTGGGCACTGTTTTCTAAGACGCTCCAGCCAGCAGTTGCATGCTGATGTCATCAAGAACAATGCAGGGCCAATAGTCATGGATGGTAGATGAACAGTAGTACACCTATTAACCCTAGACTTACTGGGTATGTAATCTTGCAGAGCGGGGAGGCCCCACTAGATGTTTTTATGTAATTCCCGGAGTTCAGCTTTACTGATCAGGTTTCTATTTTTTAACTGCTGGAAAAGGAAATCTAGTTAGTTGCTTTGCACTGTGCATAGAATTCCTGTTAGCACTGCTTTTATTGAATGTACCTGTTTGTTTATACCCAGTTTTAACAGACTGTCAGAAAGGCTAATGTTCGCCCTCTGAGCTCCCCGCAAGGCACTGTGCCTTGTGAGCCCTGATTGCCCAAAGCCTTGCACCTGACCGTACTCTGTAAGAGCCATGATTGGGCAAAGCAATGATGACTTTGCCCAATCATGGCTCACCTGTCAGATGCCGTACAACTGTAAGCAGTTGGGTGGAGCTAGCTGTAACCGCTAGCTCTGTCCCCAAATGTTTATATGTTGCTGGCATCTGTCAAAATTTCATTATGCGGCAGGAGTTCGTCGCGAGCGGACGGTGGTCGTCATTTAAAAAAATAATTATTTCTATTTATTTTTTATTGGTTTATTTTTTATTTTGTTTTATTATATATGTACAGTATCAGGGGCGTAACTAGAAATCACAGGACCCCATAGCAAAATTTTTCATGGGGCCCCGTGATTGCTAGTTATGCCACTTGCAGAGTCCCAGCGGAGAGTTACCCTGCAGAGCCCACCATAGACTCCCTATAGTGGGCTCTGAAGGGTCTGAGATCTCTTTCGTGTCAGCGCCTCCGTGGTCGCCAGGCCCCGAATCCTGTTTCGTCCCCGGGCCCCGCCTCCTCTGCTATCGACGGGCCCCGCCTTCTCTTACATCACTGGCCCCACCTGCTCTTACATCACGGGCCCCGCCTCCTCCATTCCGAACACCGCCCTCATCTGCGGCAGCGGCTGGCTGTCACTGACACAGCTCCGCAGCGGCTATGAGGGGAAATGCGCTGTGGCCGCTGCTGAGCTGTGTCTGTGACAGCCAGCACCCCCACATGCCATAGCG